AGTAGACATAAGCGTAATTCGTAAGTAACTCCGAAACTATTAGTTTGATTCTCGTTTTCTCCATTCAATTTTTTTAACTTGTTCTACTAATATACTAGTTTTCAAAACTATACGCTGAAATTTAATTTTTCTCAATTTTATCACGTAATGGGGGGGTTATTTTGAACTTTGCATTTAGTTATATGCGTAATCAGCATGTTACTCGGAAACTATTATTTTTACTGTATTCTGGTTTTCTCCATTCAATTTTTCTGAACTTGTTCTACAAATATAGTAGCTTTCAAAACTATACGCTAAATAGAGTTTTTTTTCTTCAGTTTATCACGATATGGGTGGAAAATTTTAGTTTCGCATTTAGCCTTAAGTGTAATTCGGATGTAACCCCGAAACTATTAATTGTACCGGATTGTGGTTTTTTTCATTTAATTTCTCTTAACTTGTTCAGGTAATATACTAGTTTTCAAATCTATACGCTGAAATTAATTTTTTTTCTAAATTGTCACGTAATGGGGAGGGGGGTGTTTTGAACGTTTGAATATATCTATAAACGTATTTGGCATGTAACTCCGATACAATTCATTTGAACTTATTCTGGTATTCTCAATTTAATTTTCTTAATATGTTTTTCTAATATACCAGTTTTCTATACGATTTGCTTGATTTAATTTTTTGTTTTTTTATAAAATGGTGGGGTATTTAGTACTCGATCACTTATGGCTTTTCTTAGTTTTTACCTATTTCCAAAAATTGTATTCTTGTTTGGTTCGTTATTCTACTTTTTAATTTCTCGTAATGTATTCTCCTTGTACACGGAATTTGATAAGGTAGCGCCGAATTTAAGTTTTATAGTAATTTGTCACGTTAAGTGGGGATATTTTTTACTTGATCACTGAAGGATTTGTTTCCATCTATCTCCGAAGTTACAATTCTGGTGGTGTGTTCGTTTCCACCAAGGTTTCTTTTTTTTTTTTTTTGTTTATCTCCGGAACTATTGTGCTGATTAGTATCTGGTATCTCCCTTTCAATTTCTATTTAATACTACGTAAATACTTTCTGTGAGTCACCGGCTATCACTTGTTTCAGTTGTGTTTCAAGTATTAAATTTTTTTAACTTTAATTGAGGTTAGTCGCCCCTTGCACTTTATTTACTTGTGTTTCTATGAGGGGATGTATACAATAGTGCAAACTGCTTTATGGCCGTCACTATTTGGCGAAAAGCTTAACTTTAAATTAATTTTAATAATATTCGTACCCTTCATATAACTTGTATTTTCTCAAAGCAAACTCAGATATATTTTCCTTTTTGTTGCAGCTTACATATCCACTAACGTAGGTCAGTGATTGTTTATTAGCAGCAGTCAATGCGTATTACTAATTTTGTGAATCACTTGCGCTCATTTTAATCTTGGTAATTTAAATACTGTATCACTTTCTTTATACAACGTTTAATTAACTGAATTAATATGAGGATGTCATATAAAGTTTATATTATGAAAATATCGTCTAAGCAAAACCTAATAGAACTCTAAAAATTACTGTTATCTTACGATTCCGGGCAGTGAACTAATCTGTTAGACCCTTGCTTGAAGTGGTACGCTAGGTTTATCTTTACGAGGGTGTAATTACGTTTCACTTTATCACTTTCCTTCTCTACATGTACCGAGAGCACGTCATCCGGTGAATGTAACTTCTTGCTGTGGGAAACTGTACTTAAACTGTATTTAAAATGAAAGATATGTTATTTCATAGATTTACATTTTTTAACATCATAGAACACATTGGCAAATATTTTGCAAAATACTCAATAAAATAGAACCGTAAATGAGTAATTAGAGCGACGTTGTCTCTAGTTAGATGACGTGCAACACGGGAGAGGGAGAAAGAGCGCGTGGAGAGAACGAAACAAGTAACGAAAGCCGTTGCGCTTGTGGTCGCAGGTGACGGCGCTGCTGGCGCTGACGGAGGGCGCGCACTTCCAGAGCAACGGCCTGCTGTACGTGACGGAGAAGCTGCGCCTGGGGCCGCACGGCGCCACCTCGCTGGTGGTGCGCGTCGTCGTCACCAGCCCCGGCACCAAGAACATGACCGGTACGCGCTCTCCATCTCTCACTGTCAAGTCCCTAGCTCCTCACCCGCTCTTCCCTCGTGGATTGGTGGAGTGATCTGAATAATATATTATCTAGTTTTATATAAATTGCAGGCCCGACAGACACAATTTTCCCATCATTCCCCTCCTCATCGCTTTGTCCCACTCAGACCTGCTCGGAGCCGCTCCATCCCACTCCGTCTTGCTCCGACCCTCTTCGATCCGTATCGACCCACTCCGATCCGATCCGGCCTGCTCCGACCTGCTCCAACTCGCTCCAACCCGCTGCGACACGCTCCGCCCCCTTCCGACCATCTCCAATGCGCTACGACACACTGTGACCTGTTGCGACCCGCAGCGACGCTCTCCGACCCGCTCCGACCCGCTCCGACCCGCTCCGACCCGCTCCGACCCGCTCCGACCCGCTCCGACCCGCTCCGACCCACTTCGACCTGCTCTAACTCGCTCCGACCCACTCCGACCCGCTTTAACTCGCTCCGACCCGTTTCGACCCGCTCTGACCCACTCCGACCCACTTTGACCCGCTCTAACTCGCTCCGACCCGCTCTGACCCACTTCGACCTGCTCTAACTCGCTCCGACGCGCTCCGTCCCGCTGTGTCACTGGGGGACGCGACCCATGCAACTGAGGGAACTGTAAATTGTACTACTTCGAAAATATCCATGCCGGTTTGCATTTTTTGCCCATGAAACCTTTCGCCCACTGATATACTATTTTTGCCGTTCAATGAATCACTTGTTTCAATCTTCAAAATCTCCGTATAATAAATTATCCGCCCTCCCATATTTTGCCAATAAAGGATGCCAATAATTTATTCGGCGATACATAATGTTCCGTTTTTCAAACTCGTCCCACTCGTCGTTGACTCGTTTTGGAATCGGTCTGGGAGCGAAGAAAGCCGTTAGTGTGGTGGACACCTGAGATCTAATTGCGACCTACACTTTCTCGTCGGGAACACCGGGAGAATCGGCGCCGAATCGAAGCAAGGAGGAAGGGAGGCGAGTGCCGATTGCTCGGGGCGCGTACGGTCATTAGTCGCTGCCAGGGAACAAAAACACCAGGATTGATCGCCCTCCCCACACCCCGCCGCGCCGCGGAGGCGCCATATTTCCTCCGCCGCCGCGCCCTCTGGTGGTCGGGAGTTGCGAAAGGCGAGCTGCAGCCGCGGCGGCGGCCCGTCGGGAAAGCTAGAGCCGTAATTTATGGCTTGTATTCGCCGCCGCTGATAAAAAAGGTTCTCGAGGAAATTGGGGGATTGTGGCGGGTGAAGGGCCGCATCGATGGCCCAGGAGGCGCCCCCTCGCTCGGAACGCCCGAAAATCCAACGACCTGGCCACAATCCACAAGGGAGTGGATTTGCCTAGAGATAGTAAGTCTAAAGCTTTTGAGGTGCCTCGTTTCAAATGTAATGAAATTGCAAGATGTGAAATGTCAGGTTCAAAAATGGCAGACCCAATCGTAAAGACTGAAGCGTGGAAATATGGATGTTTCGACGTCACTCTAAATACAATGAAATCTTTGCAGCATTAAAGTAAAATGTCGATGAAAGAAAAGGATGCAGTTATGTGACGCTAAATGTGTATTATTGTAATCAAGGATAATGGTTCTCTATAATAAAAAACATTTGTTAAAATTGTAATATGTGGAACGAAAATTATAATCCACTATGCGTACAACTTGTGGTAATGAATGGTTTATAATTAACACTTATCAAATACAAAAACTTTCGACACTTTTGCTTTAACATGTACAAAACTGATGTAACATATTTTAACATGTAACAAAAAATAAGATCAAAGCACTTTCCTCGTGACAAATATCGTTGAGAAAAATCAAGGAATTAGATTGATTCCACAAATGTTAACTCTACAACATCGCGAGGGATATAAACGATAAAATTACGTTTCTGGAGCTCAGATAATTCAAAGTTCTGCATAATCCCATTTCGATTTTCCTCATTATGCCCAGGTTTCGAGCCCCTTCACACCAGTGTGTGGCGGTAAGAACCTTAGGCAACGGTCGAACACGGGAGAGATGACGACACAGACATAGTTGGTATTGGTGGCTGTCGAAGGCAGGGAAGGGCGTCTGCTCCGTGGGACATTAATAACGGAGATTTGAAGCCGACGTCGGCATCGAAATCCCCCTCGATCGCACGGGAAGGAGAGAGCTCAGCCAAGTTTCTTTTTATGTTACCGCGCAGACTTCGTAGAGTTGAATTTTCAAAGTAAAGGCTGCTCCTATCAGCGATTGGCGATTATCTCTTTGCCCGCGTCAACAAAATGACGGTTATCTTATGATTAGAGAATGTCAAATAGAGGAAAAGAGTTTAGTTATTCTCTGCAAACCATTATATTTTAATATAAAGACGACAGCAGTAAGAACTTTTTTTAAATAGAAAGGTGAATTTTTTGGTTATTCATCACTCTGTATTCCTAGCGGTGAGAATTATATTTTATTACCTTAACTATTAACGGTCACAATTACAAATTTAACCCAAAAAATACTAAGTAATATATGACTGATGACATGTAATAATATGTTCCTACTACTACGATAGTAACCGTTTTACAAACGTTACAAAAAATGTAATTGACTGATTGCACAAGTGTTATACTGCGATTAAACACACATTAAAATGGTTCTTTTGGAAGGTAATAAACTCTTAACTCTATTTGTTTCCCGCCAGGGTCTACGAAGCTGTACCTCTCGCCCCGCCTGGAATTCCTTCCCTTCAACCTTCATCATCATCCTATCACTTCATTGAAGAATGATTATTAATTCCCTGCCCAAGCAGGAGGCCCTACCCTTAATGGGATGTGCAGTTGGCTGATAAAAAAGTCAATTTCGGCCCGTCTGGGATAAAACTCGGCTACCAGCGGTGAAATACGAGTTGTCTAAATACTACGTCACGAGCCGTCCAGATTTTCGTTTTGTCTTCTTGCATTGTCATTTATAAAATTAATATTTGATATTCTATTTTGTATTATATTCTTATCTATTGCAAATTGAAAATGTTCTGAAAAGTTTATTTAGCATCATATTCATATAAAGAAGTACGTACATTTCTTGACTTGCCATCCATGAAAGAGTGGTGACGAAATAACGTGCTTGGCGTGAGGTCGAATACGTCAGTCCAGAAGGGCCTTGCTTGCAAATGAAAACTTGTAATCCCCACCCTGTTCAACGGAATCGGCATCCGTTTATTTTTGAACTATTTTCGGTGTTGTGGCGGAAGTGCTTGCTGTGAGTTTCCAGCCTGTGGCGGAGTGGTGAGCTGAAGCGAGCGCTTGTGTCGCAGCGGAGGTGTCTGGCTACGCGAGCGACTCGTGCCTGGGCGGCGGCGGCGGCGGCGGTGGTGGCAGTGGTGCGAGTGGTGCGGCGGCCAACAGTTCGCTGGTGGCGTCTGTGCTGCGCGCGGCGGCGGTGGCGGTGCGGCCGGAGGGGCTGGTGCGAAGCGCTACCGAGAGCGCCTACTTCTGCGCCAACGGTCAGCCTCCAGCCTCGCTCACGCCTAGCGATGCACGTAGTCGTTTACGAAACAAGGGCGCGAAACAGGTGATTCACGCATCAGGCGAGTTTGTCGACGAGTGCGGGAATCACCCGTTTCGCGCCCGTGTTTTAACACGCCGTGAGCGAAACGCAATGCGTCAAGTAAAGGTATATCATTATAAAGCGTTGGCGTTTCTTTTACCTTTACCCTCCGTGAAGAACACTCCTGTAATCGAAAACCTGCCGTGAAAGGAAATATTTAAGAAATTCTGGGAACAATTACTCAAAATTAATGTAATTAAATGTTGAAAGGTAACAATAGTGTGACATCTTTTCTGAACTAGTAGACTGTAAAAGTCACTAATATTAATTGTTTATAAAATATATTAAAAATGCAATGAAAATTGAAATAAATTGCGTTTTGTGAATTGTAACCGTGACTGAGTCCCTCTGTTGCAGAGAATGTGGTGGTATCGTCAGCAGAGGACTTCCGCTTTGAGTTCGTGGCGGCGCCGCGTGGCCGCGCTGAGCTCGTGTTCGAAGTGCGCGCGGCGGCGTCTGCGCACGTGGCGCTGTCCGACGTGCGCTACACCAGCGACCGCATGTACCAGGTGGTGCTGGGCGACCTCGACAACTCCGTCTCCTGGATTGGACGCGGGAAGCACGGTACAGCTCTCTTCCACCTTCTCTCTGCGTTTGGAACGTGTCTTTACAAATTAATAATGAATGATCAATTAAGTGGACAATTAAGTATAAAAAATATGTACCGATAAAGCGAGCAACCCTCGCGTACTGTCGGCGAGCGGCCCTCGCATGCTGTCGGCGGCAGCGTTCGGCGCCTTCCGGGTGCGCTGTGTGTAGTAAGAGGGCGGTGCTTGCAGGGTACGGCGAGCAGCCCTCGCGTGCTGTCGGCGTCCGTGTTCTGCGCCTTCTGGGTGCGCTGTGTGTAGTAAGAGGGCGGTGCTTGCAGGGTACGGCGTGCACCTGGCGACGACGAGCAGCCCTCACGTGCTGTCGGCGTCCGCGTTCCGCGCCTTCTGGGTGCGCTGGAGCGGCGGCGCCGTGTCGGTGGGGCGCGGCGCGCAGCCGGGGCTGCGCACGCTGCTGTCGTGGCGCCTCGACCGCAAGCTGCGCGTGCAGCACGTGGGCTTCGCCTCCGCCTTCGGACGCGCAGCGGAGTTCAGGTCAGTACCTGCCCCTCACATTGTCCACCTACACAACATCCCTTCCTATCTTCCTTCCTTTTCAAATCTGCTGCACTTTCTCGCAACAATATGACTCTTATCCATCTTTTGAGTACCAAGGGAATAGGGAAAATTCTTAAATTTTGTTGTTCTCGTAACGCCACGAGATCTTGTGTAACTGACTGTGATGTCACAATCTTTGTGCCTTTGGCCAGGATATCGTTAGAATCCGGGGTTCTCAGATGGTTACGGGAATGCGTAGTGTCTCGAATTTCTGAGCTTCTGACTTCTTAACTTCCGAGCAAACACAATTGGTCTAACGAAGCCATCAGCGATTGTATCATTACTTTTAAGCGAATAGGGCAATATAGAAACAACAGGTTTTGGTTAATATAATTTAAAATTAAATATAGGCTAAAAAAATAAAAACTCCCCGGTCGCTGTGAAATCATATTATTATCTTGTACTATTGAAACATCTGGTGTGTAGTTCGAGCGATTTTATAGTTAAGGGAGGAGGAGGAGATTGTTTCGGGGTGGAATTCTTTCAATTTTGAAAAGGAAGGCACGACAAACAATTCAGATTACTGTTACAATAATGAAATAAAGCATTCAAGAATGTAAAATGTACCTTCGTTTTCACAATTAACAGGTAAGAGAGCCTATCTTTTGTAAAACGCTTGCGTTTTGAGAAGAAACTTTCTTTGTTGGAGATCAACATTACAAGCGCGTTTCTAATTAGAAAATTGTTGTTAAAGAAATTTTTTTCTCGGAACAACTGCATACGGAAAATTTATAATAAAAAACATTTTAAAATGAAAGAGAAAAATCTCCCAATGCATTTTTGTTTAAGGAATAAAAGTGTTGTGTATTAAAACAAATGAGTCTGCTTTGGATAACAGACAAACATTTATTATACACACAGCGATACTGCATGGTCAGATGGTCTGCCGGTGGCGAGGCTGTCAGAACGTACAAAGGAGGGCCGGGGGCCGTCGACGCCAAGGACAGGGCCCTGGCTCGTGGGGAGGCGTTTGGCGGCTGCCAAAGTTCATATGAAAGTCCGCAGCGCTCGCCGGATCGATGTCCGTGCTCCGCGAGAGATGACGTACAGAAGGAAGTCGGGTCGCCGTAAGGCGCACCGGGCTGGAATTGTTTCCTGTCCGAGAAGGGAGGAACCAGCACAAAGCCAAGAAGAGGCACCGCTCGCGAAAACTACCTCATGCGCAAAACTCCTGACGCTCGCAATGTTGCACAGGAACTCGCATCAGGTTGCTCTCTCTCCCCTTCTCTCTTTCCTCTCTCTCCTCTCTTTCCTCTCACTCCTCTCTCTCCTTCTCTAGCCAATTTTGCTCGCGAAGGTGAAGATTGGTACCTGTGGGCTGCCGGCGCTAGCCGCGTGTTCGTTCTGAAGGAGCCGTCGCGGGCGGCGGGAAGGCGAGCCAGCCGTCTGCACCTGCGTGACGAGGCGGCGGCAGGAGGCGCGCCGTCGTTCGCGCGCGCGGGCGAGGCGAGGGCGACGAGTCGTTGCCCGGCCCCCGCGCGCGCCTCGCGCATCAGCAGCGGCAGCGCGTCTGAACGCCGCCACGGCCGGCCCGACAGTGCTGCCACACCACACACACTCGCGTCAACCTTTTGGGGTCACCTCGACAGACAGCAGCTTCTGAGGAATTCCTCACAACTTGGATCAGATTCAATAATTCATAGGAGAAACCCGCCTTTTCTTAAAAAAAAAGCCGATCTAGGTAACCGAGATTCAACTAAGCCAGTTAGCTGCCATGACGGTCATGGACCAAGGATACGGGTTTTCGAAGTTGCCCACTCGCATTGATGTGTTTCTGTGCGCGTCTCGTACGTTTGTGAGCCTTATTGCGTCCTTCATCAGTTATTACACGTCCTCCCCCGGGGCTAACAAACCCTGTGTGTAAAAACGCATTCAGCGCGAAAATTCTTGATCATCCCCCATTGCCAAAAGGTTCACGTGCACGTTCGATAAATATTGAGTGGCTCCTGGTGGGTGCCCGTTCGCGTGGCCGCAACATGCCCGATTCTGCGATCAAAAAAGAACGGAAAAGTTAAAGCCATCAAATGCCGCGCATTAAATAGCACCTAGTGTTTCGGTTCAAGCACTTGCAGAGAAATGTTAACTTCCAATGCCGAAGGGTTGGCGCACCTGGATGGAAGCGCCGGGGGCGGGCCGGGGCCGGCGCGGGGCGGGGGCGGCAGGCTTGAGGCCGCCGCTGGATAGCAGCAGCGCCGGCCTCCGACCCTCGGCGACCACTCCGGCTGCCCGGCACATTCCAGGTGCAGCACCTGCGAGAAGACCCGCTCGTCGTGTGTACTTCCACCGCACCCTGCAACCACCACACCACATGACACACCACACACTCTGCGTTTATGGAGAATACGAGAAAAGGACAAAGATTTATTCGCTGGCAGCCAACGGAAGGGCGCAGCATAACCCAACTCCAACCTAACCCTAAGGGACCAGTCGCCGCGGCTGGTCCCTCATTGGCCTTCCGTGAGGATACTAACATCCTGCGAGCGGAGAGTAAGAGCGAGAAAGAGGGACAGGAGAGAGAGAAGAGAGGAAGTATAGGGAGAGGAGACAAAGGAGAAGAGGCAGAGAGAGACAGAGAGAGCAAAGAGAGTGAAGAGAGAGAGGAGAGAGAAGATGAGAGAAAAGAGAAGAACGAGAGAGAGAGAAAAGGAGGCGAGGAGAGAAAGAGGGAGCAAGAAAGAGAGCAAGGTAGAGCAGAAGGGAGA